CCTGGGGGCAAGCATGCCTGGTGCTCTCATTTTAGGTCTGTGCTCAAAAATCAGCTCCCTAGAGAGTGCCACGCTGGCCAACCTATTATCAGCAGCTCCTGTTAGTCTCCCTTGCCTTGCCCTGTGTGACGCTTTCTCCATTGCATTTCTGACATTCTACCACAAATCTCTGTACTTGGTGTTTACTGTTTGTTCCCCCTACTGGAATACGAACTCCATGAGGGCAGGGCTTCTGTTGTGTTTCCTGCTACATCCCACAATGGCACATAGTAGGATATGAATATTAATAAATACTCATTGAATGAATGAGTGGAAGTCAATCTTAAAAGCCTGGAGAATTTCTGCTCAACAGTCTTCAACAAGCCAGGTGTGGTGGCTCACACCTGTAATCCTGGCACTTTGGGAGGCTGAGATGGGAGGATTGCTTGTGGCCAGGAGTTCAAGACCAGCCTGGGCAATAGTGAGACCCTTCCCTGTCTCTACAAAAAAAAAAATTAGCCGGCTGTTGTGACATGCACCTGCAGTCTCAGCTACTTGGGAGGCTGAGGCAGGAGGATCACTTGGGCCCAGGAGTTTGAGGTTGAAGTGAGCCATGAGGACACCACTGCACTCCAGCCTGTGCAGCAGAGCAAGACTCTGTCCCGAAAACCAAAAAAAGTCTTCAACAGTAAAGGACAGTTCCATGTGTCTAAAATGAATTAGACAGTACTATCCAGAATGGCATTAGAGAAGAGGGATGAAGGGCTCTTATGGCCATTTATTCTAGAATTCCTTGAGTTATGAGCCTCAAAGTACAAGGCCATACATTCTAGGACACACAAGTGTGTACAGCATAACTCTGTCTCACCCTGGTACTGCATTTCTGGAACACAATGATTTGAAAATCCCTCCTGAAACTTGCCCCAAAGCCCTGATTTTTCGTTCAGTGACAATCTCACAAGGAGAACAGATGCTGAACAAATCCTGCAACTTTATGGCAAGGCCCCAAAGACCAAGTCAGGGTGTCAGCAAGGTAAATTTCGAGGCCATCTGGCCACAATAAAATTGATCTGGCTACATGTCCATTTTTCTTTCTACCAATCAGGGTCTTATGGGCCACACAAAACAGTGTCACTTCTCTCTGGCTAATGCCTGCTCTGGCTGTCGCAGTCCCATTGCAAGTCCTGCCTGTCACTGAGGAAGCAGAGACATGTTTAGAAAGTTGCTTCTAGAAACCAAGTATCAGGGAGTTCTCACTTCACCATGTGGGGAGAAGACCACGGTATGTACAGGAGCAGAGAGACCTCTGCAGCAATTTCCTACTGACCTGGCATCTCAAAGCTTCTGTAAAGATAAAGTGAGACTGGTACCTGTCAGTACATGTGGGGTGGTGGTGGTGGTGGTGGTGGTGGTGGTGGTGTTGAAATAATGGTTTGATGACTTCTCTTCTGCAAAGGTGTGCAAATGGAATTCTTTAAAAAAATACTCAGCAAAATTTCAAATTTCATTCGGATAGCCTTCCAATGGTTGGCCCACAATTACTCCAAGGCTATGCAGCTATGAAGATAGCATGCTATTTCTGTGTTTCAGGTGAGCAGAAAAGACATTACAGGGTCTCTCGTAGACTTCTAAGCAAGGAGGGACATCCTCTTTTTTTTTTTTTAATCTTCCAAAGAGTGAACCATAATCACACTGAGACTCTGAAGATAGGACAGTCAAAAGTAGGTGCTTCAATGTTCTCTCACTGTTCCCAAAGCAAAGTGTCTTCCTCCTGTAGCAGGAGTCTCAGGAGCCAGCTCCAACCTTCTGTGTTTCTCCCTCATAACCCGCTGCTCTCCATGGACTGTATCAATCACTGGGAAGTCACAGGATCCCATTTACCTTGAGTTACGACCACGGGCCTACCCTGTGTTTGGGACAGTGTGACCTCAGAGGTCACCTCTGGAAGCATGGCCTTGTGCTAAGGCCATGGGGGAAAGGTCTTGGGCACCCTTTGCAAAGCCCAGCTCCAGTCCCGTTATGCTGGAGAAAGGCACCCTTGGAGGGGTACAATCCTCTCTCTGGTGTGTCACATAATTCAGAGCAGTTCTGAGATGTTTAAAGTGCTAGAATGGAAAAGAAAGACAAAAAAGAGTATTGCCCTCTCTCTCATGGAATCCGTTGGCCAGCTGTAATAGCAAATGTTCACTGCCTGTTTTCTACATGCTTTGCATAACTCATTTCATTCTCACAACTCTATAAGGTAGGTGCATTCGTATCCCCATTTTGCAGGCAAGGAATCTAAAGTGCAAACAGGAGAAGTACACAACCCAAATCCGTGCAGCTAGCACGCTGCCCAGCCCTAGAGGCTGTGAGCACAGCCCTGCATGGTACTGCCCGTGAGAACAATATATAAGCCACCATCAACCAATTAAAAATACCTTTAAAAACATCAACCTGAAAGTAAACCTATTAAGCATGGCTCTCCCCTATGCGGTGCTAATTTGCTTTTTGCTTTCGAGGTGAATCATCACCTGCTTTTTCTCATCTTCTTAGCAGAGCTGGCGCTGCAGGCAGCGGGGAGACTGGGAGGCTCTGTCCTGTGAGTCAGCACTGTTCCATAACGGAACAGGCTCTCCCCACCCTCGGCTCAAGTCTGCTCTTTCAGCTCTTGACAAAAACCGGACAGAGGCACAAAACCCCTATCTGTCACTTTGTCTGCCTCCAAAACACAAACCTCTAACTGTAGCTTGGACTTCCCGAGCCCACAGCGAGGAGTCGTTGCTGCGACACCACGGTGACCTCTCCCTTTATGGAGAGCAACCCAAGATGAGAGGCTGAGCCTGCAGGGAAGAGCCACACGCAGGAGTATGCTGGGCTTGCTCCTTAACAAGTCCAGCCACAGTGTTCCTCAAGCAGTGGGTACTGTAGTGGCCTCGCCCTGGGACTTAGCCAGAGCGTCTGAGCGGGACCAATCCTGCGCCAGCTCCATCGATGAGGCCTGAGTGTTAAGTAAATCAGTGTCACTGACCCGCCACCGCTCCCCACCACTCTCGTCTGCTGCCGTGATTGATAACGGGGCACGCACTTGACCTGCGGGGGCTCAGTCAGAGTACAACTTACAAACCTTGCTTCAAGGCTGGGAAGACAGGAATTCTCTCTGGCACTGCTCAGCGCAGATGTCAGGTGTGAGGCCTGGGGCCGCTGCAGCTATTTCTTAGCAGAGAGAGCCAAGTTGTGCACAGAACCAATGCACATGAAGCCAAGGGACCACAGCGCTGCACAACGCAGAGGAACGGGCTGGGCCCCCGCCAAACCACGCCTGGATTTACTGTAAATGACACAGTCCCTTTATGTTTTAAGCCTGTTTGACTTAAGTTGGGTTTTCTGTTACTTTTAGGCGAAGCCTTTTAACCGATAACCACCATTTAGACCAAAGTCCAAACAGTAATGTACATTTGTCTACAGTTCTGATAGTCGAATCCAACGTTCATATGGCTCAGAGCTATCAGCATGCCCCAGTTTTTCAAGTACTCAGCTCAGGAGTCACCTCTTCTGTTGACACACTTGTTTGTTCATTTGCCCAACAAATAGAGACACTGCATCTACGACGTGCCAGCTCCTATTCCGAGTGCTGAGGTTTCAAGGATAAATATAATAAAACAGGATGCCTGTCCTTGAGGGGTTGAATGGGGAAATAATGTAAGTAAACCAACAAATGGAAGCCAAGGGCAAGGGCTTTGATTGGGGGGAGTACTGGGAGCTACTGGAACACAAAGGACAGGCGTCCGAGTCAGACATGGAGGCTGGGGAAGGTGCCGCGGGAGGGAACGTTCCAACCGAGCTCTGAGAACATCGCCTTGGCAGGTGGTTCTCAACTGGAGTGGGTCTTCCCCCGCAGGGACATTTGCCAATGTCTGGAGACATTTTTAAGTTGTCACAACTGGGAGGGGCTTCTGGCAGCTCACGGGTAGAGGCCAGGGTTGCTGCTAAACATCCCCCATACAAAGGACTCTGCAGCCCCACGTGGCAACAGCAAGGAGGCTGAGGAGCCTTGGCATGGATGGAGCAGGCGGGAAGGGGTGTTCCAGGCAGCGTGACGAGCACGTACAAAGACACAGAGAAGTGAACCCACTTGACACGTTCGGGGAAGGCATTTGGGCTGGAGCCAAGGGGGTGGGTTAAGGAGTGACACACCAGCTAGAAGGGGATGCCCAGGACCGGCAGAGCAGATGAGTCCTGAGTTGGGAGCTTAGAGTCTGAGTCTTATCCCCAAAGCTGTGGAAGCTCCTGGAGGATTTGAAACAAGGCTGAGTGTTTTAGGAGGATTCCCCAGGCAGCTGGCTGGCAGCTACAGTGGCAGTGAGTAATGGGGACTCGACCAGGCAGCAGCTATAGGACAGAGAGGAAAGAACAGACCTTCTGCAGGACTCCCTTCTCCCACCAAGTTCATTGCCACTGCATGCTGCTTGTGCCTCTACCTTTCCCCTCCAGGAGTCTGTAATCCCCTGGGGTACACGCTAGAATGAATACGTCTTTCCCTTCCGCACAGAGCCTCACACAGGTAGGCACAGAGGGCTCACATGTGGGGCTTAGAGGCCAGTGCCAGCAGGAAGGTAAAAATCACGTAGAGTAAAACCCTCAAAAATCCCTTAAATCAGTAGTCCCCAACCTTTCTGGCACCAGGGACTGGTTTCATGGAAGACAATTTTTCCACGGACCTGGGGGCAGGGGGATAGTTTTGGGCTGATTCAAGCACATTGCATTTACTGTGCAGTCAAACCTCTCTGCTAATGATGATCTGTATTTGCAGCTGCTCCCCAGCACTAGCATCACCGCCTCAGCTCCACCTCAGACCATCAGGCATTAGATTCTCATAAGGAGCGTGCAACTTAGGTCCCTCACATGTGCAGTTTACAGTAAGGTTCAGGCTCCTGTGAGAATCTGATGCCCCTCACTGATCTGGCACCAGTCAGAGCTCAGGCAGAGATGCGAGTGGCTATAAATACAGATGAAGCTTTGCTCAGTCATCCGCTGCTCACCTCCTGCTCTGCAGCCCGGTTCTTAACAGGCCACGGGGCCGGGCCGGTACTGGTCTGAGGCCCGGAGGTTGGGGATGGCAGCCTTAAATCATCCACGTAGCACAGCACATATGGCCTTGTGTATACATCCTTATAGAATAATAGGGGAAAAGAAAGATTTAATCTGAAATGTATAGTATGAACAGAACATATGTAAAAGTCATTTTTTTAAGCTTTATTTAAATTATTGTTTTTTTCCTTTTTCTTTCAGGGCCCATGTTGTTGAATCAGCTTACCTTAACTTGCACATTTGCTGCAATGGTTCCACTGCACTCAGTGAATGTTTGCAGAGGACATGAAAGGGACAGCCACTCCCAAGGGTGTTCTCATTTGTCCACTGGCCTCTGGCTCCTGCAGGGTTTGGGGGTCAGAGGTGGGCCAAGGAGCACGGGATTGCAAGGAACTAGTGGGCTCGGAGCCATGCTGCTCGGGACTGGAAGACAGAGTCCCCTGGCTGCTGGGGAGGCTGCCAGCCACCAGCCCTCAGATGTCAGTTCTTGCTGGGAATTGCCCTTGGCTAAAAAGAGCAGCCTCACCCAAGTTAGGACCACCCAATGGCTGGTCCATACTACAGTACAAAAGCCCAGCTGCTTTGCCAAACTCGGGACAACTCTGCAGGGCCATCTGAACTTCAGAGCTCCCCGTGGGGTCAGCTTCAGCCTTGTAGTATCTGTACTATATCCTAACTCTTAACTCTGCCCAAAACTGCTTCCTGCCCTTCCTGGACAGGTGTTTATACCTAGAGCACGCTGGGGACCCTGGACTGCAATGAGTGGCTACCTGAGGTCAAAAGGTTAAGAGCTCTCAGAGTTGGAGTGGAACAGCGATGGGTGTCAGGTACCAAGAGTAGGAGCAGGCAGGGTGCAAGGCACAGGGGACCAGAGAGAACGAGCAGGCAGACAGCACTGAGCACTCCTAGCAGAAGGAAGCTGTCTGTCTCCTGCCTGGTGAGATCTGGACTCTACCCCCTTCACCACCAAACACCTCCCACCTCTTTGCCTCAGGTTGTCCCAAGGAGCCCGACTCCTCATTATCAGATATTTCCCTTGGATTAGAAGCCTGTTAAAATACAATGCACCGTAAAGTAACTCGAAATAACATATCAAATCAGGGTTATTACAGTTCCCATGAGCTGGCAGAGATGGGAGAAATAAATTAAAGGCTGAGGTGGCTGATGATGGAAGAAAGTTCTAGGTGGGATGCTAATGTGGTGATGGTCATGGGGTCAACACAAGAACACCCAATTCAAGGGGAACAAGCAGGTTCTAGAGTAAAGGACAAAATCCCCGAATCCAACCAACTGCTTCCCAGTGAGGCCAGGAGCTGGTTGTACCCTTAACTGACACGAGGCAGCACCAGGACATTCCTGGGCTTTGCTTTGGTCTCTGACTATTAAGCCAAAGCTGTGAGGTGCTGGGGAGGGGTGGGAGTGGTGGGTGAGCAGGAGATATTATTTCCACTAATAACAGGATTACAAATTTACCTAGAAGGCCCCAGACTTGCTATAAGCTATTGCAGGCAGTCAGGAAATTTCCAGATCATATTTCATTCCCCTGCAAGTAGAACCCATCAAGACAACAGTTTTAATTCCTTGGTCTCCTTCCCACGATCACTGCTCACCTGAAACAAAGAGAGCTGGCCACACTGTCAGCCAGGAGGCCAGAGAAACACCCGCTTACACACGATACCACGCACTCAGGCCTTGCGCGGGCTGCTGAGGTCTGTGCTCCGGGAGATGAGTCCATTTCCCCCTTTGCTGTAGACTTTTCTCCACTATCTGCCCCAAATGCTTCCTGAGTATGGCTCTGCCTGGTAATTCTCCTCTCATCCCACTTTTACCCGGTACCTGTGGTGTAGACGGTGGACAGGCACACGGCAATCTCTTTGCAGCGTGCATTCCCTGTGATGTGTCCGGGCTGTCCATGAGGCTAAGGCTGTGGATGAGACCAGCCCTGTGGTTTGGTTCTAGGAACCTTTCCTGGAACACTCCTCCAGCCCTCGGATGATTTTGTGAGCACCTAATTCCTCACAGTCATTTTTTCTTTTGTCTGTTTAAAACAGCTCGATGTTTTCTCTTTTCTGTAGCTGGACCGTGCCTGATACTCCCCTTTTGTAAATTGACATGTAACTTTTCAGTTACATCTAGTTCATCTTGTTTTCAATGACATTTCAACACATTTCCCCAAAGAAATCTGGGCTGAGAGCTGAAGACTTGTGAGTGCCTCTTCTGAGATGCATCAGTGGATCAACTATCCTTCTTGCTATTTGCAAACCCACTGCTCATGTTTTTAGGGTCTGAGCCCATCGGGACTAGAAGGAATGCTCACCATGCACCTCCAGCATGAGGAACTTTACACAAGGTACAGGAGAGAAATGTGAGGGAAGTAGCTTGCAGAGGTCTCTGCTTCTGAAAGGTCATACTCATTTTCAAAGTTATCATTCAAACAATCCAAGGCAGCCAAGGCACATAGCTGACCCCATTCCTGTCACAGATTTTTAAACTTCCAAAACAGATCAAGGTTGAACAGGTGCATTTTTATTTCTGGGGAATGATTTGATTATAACTTGCCCTCTGGAAGCAAGGGCTGATTGCTATTCACATACTAGGGTAAATAATTTAGGCTGAGAGAGGAAAAATCACTTAGGTCTTTATTCTGCCTAAGAATCAGATTTGCAAAATTTTATTTTCTTTTTCTCACTGCCTCATTATTTTCTACAGGACTTTCATTCAGAAAATGGAATTTTAAACATACTTTGAAATAGACATATTTTTGCTTCTGCATTTTAGGCTGATATTTTCTTTTCTACCTGTTTTGCTTTATGCATTGGGAGGAATTAATTTCAATACCAATCTGGCCTTTCAGGAATGATCAGGCAGGGCTGAGAAGATCACTTGAGCTCAGGAATTCAAAGTTACAGTAAGATATGATCACGCGACTGCACTCTAGCCTGGGTGACAGGGTGAGAAAGAATGAGGAAGAGCAGAGGGAGGGGAGGAAAGAAGATAATGCATTTTCTAACAACAGCGCATCCTCCTAGACAATTACTGCCAAATTACTGCCGCAAGTATACTGCATCCCTTAGCTGGTAGGATGACCAAGAGGTTGAGAATTGTTGCTACAAAACACAGTGATACCAAACCCCTTGGAGCTAACAGTCTCTCTTCTGTAGGCCCTAATACCGACTGCTCTATGGGAAAATTTTGAAACAATCCAGACTGGCATCAGTCCTGGTGCTAAGATTCGCCTGTGTAGCATGTGTTTGTTTGCTTACTTATATGTTTATTCATTTATTTTTTTCAAGCAGGCTTTTCCTTTGGGACTCTAGTTAACTTCTGAAAAATTCAAAATTAAATCAATCTCCTAATGCTTTTATTTCTACCATGTCAAGCTTCCCTAACCTGGCAGAAGGGACCGGATATTTTGGCCTGGCTTCAAGATCCCCAGACCCAGTGGGAAGGATGACATGTTTCCAGCTGAATGACTGGCTCACTGCTGGGCTAGTGGATTGTTTTGCCAGGAGTGCCCTGGCATTTTTGGAAAACCAGGAGCTCAGAAAACGAATGTGTTGTTTAAAATGATGACTCACTTTTTTTTCCCCTACTTTATTTGCTGGTCTGTTTTTTACTTGTGTGAGTGATCCGTGTAAGAATCTTTGTGGGCCCTGACATCTAGCCTCTTCCAGAGGTTCAGAAATAAAGGACACAGATTATGTTATATAGCGATGAACACAGAAGCCATATCTCATGGTGGTCAGGGGATGGGCTCTGGAGCTGGGCAGACAAATTATCATACATAAGTGCTCTGTGCCTCAGTTTCCTCATGCATACCAATGGGCGTGATGAGAGCATCTAGCTGACAGGCAACCATGCAAATTCAATTAGATAATACATATAAAAAGACTAGAATAGGGAATTGAGTCTGATTTGGTTCTTAGTTTGACTTGATCTATAGTTTGCTGTAATAAATGTTAGCTACTTCTCATATGATTGGCATAAAAAGCACAAGAGGAGAATATGGGCAATTTCATTCTTGCAGTCAACAGTCTACATTCTTGAAATTGTTCCTTAGGTGATCATTTTCTCTTAAGGAAGCTTATACTTATGTTTCTTGAGATCACATGCACTTTTCAAAGAAATGTCTATTTTAAAGAAATCTGCTAGGATGAAGCAGGCCTCCTCTGAAGTAATCTGCACTTGGAATATTTACACATGTCTCTGAGGACTGAGAAATCCCCTTTCAAACGTTATCTCTCTCCTTCTCTTGTTCTAGGTAATGTACTAGCACAACATTCCACAGGTATTGAGTACTGCGAGTCGTGTGACTGTAGTTAAAAATAAATCTGCAATGTTCTTTTTAAGATAAACAGGGAAATCTCTGGCCCATTTCCTCACAACTGCAGAAGTGTCTTTGTGTAGAATCTCACAGGAAACCTATTAATACCAGTCTTGAAATAAATTAAGAATCTATCATATCTCAAGTGCCTGAGCAAAAGAAAAAGTTCCCCATACTAAGCAAGCCTCCAAGAAGAATGTTCACTGTTGATGGACAGGGATTATTTGGAATCTTCAAATGCCCTATTTTTAATCACTGGTTGATTATCAAATTGATGCATGAATTTGGTATAAGGAATATTTTTTATGAGGAGAAAAAATTTAACATTGGATAATTTAACCTAGCAGAAAAATAGAAGATTTGCCCAAAGTATTTGGAATTTTATACAAATAACTACCAAACTGTTTTATGCAAAAAGGAAAAAGAAACAAAAGATAAAGGTTGATATCATTACCAACACAAACACCAAGCTTTGATGTAAGGCAGATAATTAGAAATTCAAATTAGGTAGAATATTTCTGTTTTTAATGGGACCATTAAAAAAAAAATCCCATTTTAAGCTTTTGTGGCAAACAGCGACTGATCCTGAGAGCAAAGAAATATTCTTGCTTTCATATTAGCATGATATATTTAAGAAATCAAGTGTAATTTTCAAACTATAGCTTTTCAAATTATAACAAAAGTTTATGCAGTTTTATGTGAATTATAACCCATGTCACAGAAGATTTATCTGTCATTAAAGAAACATTTTAGGGGAATGGGAAAGAAATAGTTGTCACAAACCTAGGAGTATATTCAAGACCATTTGAAATTCTGGGGCAGGGTGACGCATTATTGAAAATCTCAGCACAGTGTCATTCACCTGAGCTCATGGGTGCAAGTACAAGTCACAGGATATATACAACTTGATAGGAGGCACCAGATTGCAGCTCATCATCTGGGGAAGTCTGATGGCATTAGAAGAATTTTTGCAGGTTGGACACATCACTGAACATAAGCATGTGCTTTGTCACATGAAATCATCAAATCGCTCTGTTGGACATCTCATTGTTTCCATGGCATATTGAGGAGTTATGAAATCAGGAACAAATCCAACTTTTCAACATGGCTATGGATTAAAAGAAGCCCATGTTCAAATGAGTTCTAACCCACGGCCATGGTTTCTACTGAGTTTCTAAGGACAGAGGGGGAAAAAATTAAGGACATTTACAATATCCATGGAGTTTAAGGTCAATAATGTACTATTCATAAAATGGTACAATTCAGAAATCGTCATCCTTTCAGCAATAATTTGTTGCTCTGACACATTCCAAGGAGTCTTATACTTTGCAGAAGAGGTAATAAAAAATAGGAAACATTTTAGTGCATTTTAAAATTCTACAAATATACAGTAAACTGAAACATTATGGGATGCTCTAATCCCTTGGCGTTCAGGGGAAAGTAAAGCTTGCATTCACCCCAGCCCACCAGAGACTTACATCGTATCCGCTGTTACGGATCCCACGCCGGGGTCGCTCCCGAGTCACTAGAAGGTCCATCTCGGTCTCCCCGGGGCTCGGGCTGTTCAGGGACTGCCGGCTTCGGTAGACAGAGTTCTTCATCTGTTGCCTGAAGAAAATTCAACAACTGTTATGATGCAGCAAATGCCCTGACAGATGGAATTCTCCACTGATCCAAACTACAGGCAGCCAATGAAGGGTTCGGATTTGCCTCGCAAATCTCAGAACTGATGGTATTTGTTCCCCAGCTATCAGAGGCTGTAGAAAGAGTGAAATAAAGATTTTTTTTCCCCAGATGCTGTCGTCATCTGGCTGAACTGTAAGTGTTCTTTCATTCGGAAACTAGGTAACTACAATCAATTGCAACGTGCAACCTCATTGAAAATTCTGCTGACGGCAAGGCCAGGGGTTCTCCCTTGACCCTCTAGGACAGCTAATGCTGAGGGAACAAACTTGAATTTGTTGACTTGGTTGACTCAGCAGCCTCCTGTTCCTTTTAATCTTTCTGATTTCACACGCAGGATTCTATGATGTGTTAACAAACCCTGCAGCTAGTGGGCTGCTTAATATTGTGACTGTTTATTTTTGTGTTTTTTTTTTTTTTGAGACACAGTTTCACTTTGTTGTCCAGGCTAGAGTGAGTGCCGTGGCGTCAGCCTCACTCACAGCAACCTCAAACTCCTGGGCTCAAGGGATCCTACTGCCTCAGCCTCCCAAGTAGCTGGGACTACAGGCACGTGCCACCATGCCTGGCTAATTTTTTGTATATGTATTTTTAGTTGGTCAATTAATTTATATTTTTAGTAAAGACGGGGTCTTGCTCTTGTTCAGGCTGGTTTCGAACTCCTGACCTTGAGCAATCCACCTGCCTCGGCCTCCCAGAGTGCTAGGATTATAGGCATAAGCCACTGTGCCCATCCTATGACTGTTGATAGATCTTTTTCCTACCATTACCACAGTGGATTCCCTTCTGGGCTAAGAGGCCATAAACCTAGAGGCAATTTGGGGCTCATCCATCTGTCCACCCACCCATCTATCCATTCATCCACCCACCCATCCATCCGTTCATCTACTCATCTGTCCACCCAGATATCCATCCATTCATCCACACACCCATCCATCCATTCATCTACTCATCTGTCCACCCATCTATCCATCCATTCATCCACCCACCCATCCATCCATTCATCTACTCATCTGTCCACCCAGATATCCATCCATTCATCCACACACCCATCCATCCATTCATCTACTCATCTGTCCACCCATCTATCCATCCATTCACCCACCCACCCATTCATCCATTCATCTATTCATCTGTCAACCCACCCATCCATCCATTCATCCACCCACCCATCCATCCATTCATCTACTCAACTGTCAACCCACCCATCCATCCATTCATCTACCCGTTCATTCACCCACCCATCCATCCATTCATCTACTCATCTGTCCACCCATCCATCCATCCATCCATCATTTCCTGAGCACCTGCTGTGATGAACATCCACAGTGAACAGATCGGCCCTGCTCTCCTACGGTTTACATCCTAATGAGGGAGACAGACAATTAACATGGTAATTTCAGAGTGGTAAGTGCTACTAAGAAAAACAAGGAGCTGTGACAGAGTGACTAGGATGGGGGCAATTTTAGGTAGGATGGTCAGGGAAGGCCTCACTGGGGAGACGACAATTCAGCCAAGTCCGAATGGGGCCAGCTACAGTGTTGACCAGGGCACCGAGCATCCAAGGCCCAGGGAATGGCATGTTCAGAGGCTTTGCTCAGCTATTGCTAGAAGATTCACACATGTGTCACCCCTGTCTCATTTTCACTTGTCATTAGAGGAATCTTCTCAAAGAGTGGGAAAGCAGCAGCAACATGGTGAGGATTGTGGTTATGCTTTTTTTCTTCTACAAGAGGCAATTTTTACCTGTAGGGAGTGAAGCCCAGTGGGGACAGGTGACTTCCATAGGATCCCGCAGAATGACAAAGGGGCAACACTTCCCTCGCATCCAGCAGTAAGTCTCTGTAAATAATTTGCATTCCTAGACCAACTATCTTCAGAGTACTCCCCATACGCCACCCATTTTACGTCTCAGTTTTAACATCCTAGCTATTCACAGGCTGAGGGTGAAGAGGCTGCATTATTAATATTTATTCCCGGCAACTACGTGTTCAGAAGCCAGAAACCTGGCAGGCATACATACTTTCTCACGAACACACAATATGTTAGACACAGCATTACGGCACACACAGTCTAGAACTGCAAGGCAAAGCATGACCCTTGCAATCAGTCTTGGGAATAAAACAGACATTAGTTATCCTCACTCACCATGAGGAGCTTATACCTGTTTAGAGTATGTCATCTCTGCTTGCCTGGTACCCACGATAACCTTCTTTTGGTGAGAGCATCATGATAGTCCTTGGAGGCTACTTTTCTGTAGAGGTAAGCATGTGACTCAGGCTGGACCAATCCCAGCATCATAGCCCATGGCCACAGTGATTTGTCACATGAGCTGAGTGGGTCCCATGAGACCATGTCTCAGGGCTTTTGCAATGGCAACTAGGAAAGAGGCATTTTCTTGGCACTGAAGTTTCTCAGAAGATGGACTATAAGCCTGGAGTTGCTGGCAGCCACTTTGCCACCATGAGGTATGAGCCTGCCTAAAAATAGGGTCAGCAAAGAGTGAGGAGAGATCTAATATAGGAAGCATTGTATGACCCCCTGGATCCAGCCATGCTGAAGTCTTGACCTTTCAATAATGCTCAATGATACATTTCCCTTTTATTTAACCAGTTTGTGCTAGATTTCTATCATTTGCAAACCAAAGAATCCTCACTAATTCTAACACAGGAGCTTACAACCTAATATTATAAACTGTGGTCTGTACTTATCTGCAATTAGAAGCTTCCTTTAGGAAAGGAGCACAACCTCAGACAGCTTGTGAGACAGAATCTATTTAGAGTGATTCGTACTTTAAGGCAGACCCCAAAGAATTCGCATCCTTGACCTAATTACAAATCATTTTTTGAAAAAGCAAACTTCGCAACCGTCCTGAGATTGCCAATTAGCCCATTTAGAAAGATTTACTAATAAGGGTGGTGAGGAGTAAATACTAGGATTAGCGACTGACATTTAAGTAGGTTATTTTGTATCAGAAATACAGCAGTAAGACTGGGTAAGCCCTTTCAAGAACCAGGGACGTGGGTGAGAACTTAGACTCTGGAGTATATACCTGTCTCCTTCTCTTCAAAGACAATGTTCCAGTATGATACGCAGGTTAAAGGTTACTGTTCAATATGGATCTCAACTGACCAGACCGCCCATGTGTGCCAGGTGTGTGAGCATGTGCTTAGAAATAAATTAGCCCCTCAGGTAGAGAAATCACTTATTTTACTAAAACAGAGTTCCATGTGGTATATTCATTTCTTGCAGCATTTTGCTATATTTTTTAAAAAGTGAATACATTTTGAAACATGCAAATTTAAGAAGTAGTTTTTAACCTTTGAAAATACTGTTGGATGTATAATGATGAGTTTTAATTGAATTTCTTAGGGGCTTTTTAATTCCAGTATAGTTTAAGAAAGTAGTTCTCAAATTATGTTCTATGGAACCCTGGGGTTCTATAGAGATGGCCTGGAGCCTCCAGGAAGGAGGCAGTGGCCCAGCTTCCATCGGAGCCACTGTGTACGTTACTGCCTTAGGTTGGGTTCCCCAGAAGCAGGCTCTATGATGATTTGAGTGCAAGTGGTTTATTTGGGAGATGGTTCTGGAAAGCACCAGCACCAGTGGGGAAAAGAGAGAGGCAAAGGAAGGAAATCAATAAAGGTAAGATATGGAGCAGAAGAGCGTTTGGGCATCTGGGGCTCAAACCCACTGGAGGAGTGTGGGAGACAGTGGTTTCAACATGTAGGTTTTTATTATTATTCACAAATGGCGAGGCCAACGGCCCAGGGGATGACTGCAATTGACGAGACAGCTTGCTCCAGTCGCAAATCCCAAGAGGAGGGGACAGGCTACGCCACAGTGGGGCTCCACAGGCAAGCACCAGGGTCTACTGGGGAGGCAGAGGGAGTGAGGAGAAAACCTGGCAAGAGCCTTTATTGTGGTTTCTGTGGGAAGCGACAGCAAGCAGGCTTAGGATGGGCTAGTTTGAGTAACTGTGGCAGCCTCCCGGGGCACAGGGGCCGTCCCCAGTTGGCTGGTACCCAGCCTGGGTGACCAGGGCAGGTGGATAACAGCAGCGCAGCACGAGAGAGCCCTGCGAGCCTGTGTAAAGCAAGCAGGGACGGGTTGCTCTGCATATGAAAGGTGTGTTTGCAGGTTTACTGCCATTGGGTTGCCCTGGGAGGGGCCCTCTCTCTGGGGTCAGCAAGGCCCCAGACGTTAAGTCACAGAAACTAGAAAGTGTAGTTATTACAACAGTGTAACCGACAGGCTGCTGACAAAAGCCCTCACATCGCGCACTGGCGTGGTGAGGGCCAGGGGCTTAGACTTGAGCCTGGTGACAGCATCTGCCTCAGTTATATACAGACTTCAGGCCTCTGGGTGGGAGCTTATAACATAAAAATGGGGCATTCTTCTGATTTAAAAAAAAAAAAAAAGAGCTGTGGAAACTCTTTTAAAAGACTTAGTAGTCACCTCACTTTGGATAACGCACTATGGTGCTCACATGGTGGTGGTGCTCTCCAGGGATTAGGGGAATGGGGGGCGAGTAGACTCACAACTGAGGGACGGAGTGGGCATTGTGGAGGGGAAGGGCCTGCCTCTAACCCTTGCTAGGGCGAGGAGGCAAAGATATAAAGTGTAACCAAAATGTTGTACTCTCATAATTTCCTGAAATAATAAAAAAAAAAGACTTAGTGGTGAGTCAACCTTTGGAATCTAAACTTTGTCTTTTATTTGATGTGATTTAGGTCTAAGGGTAAAATGCTGGTTACAGATGCTACCCCTGGCTGAGAGAGTGATTCTCTCACGTGTGCTCTGCTGTGGGGCTTGGTCACCGAGACCAGAGCCTCTGGAGAGGTGGACTGTGAACAGCAATTAACGGGTAACCCTGGGCTGTGATAAGAGATAAACAGTAGCAGCCTCCTGAGTCTACAGCAGAATGTGTCAAGAATAACACGTCCCAGCTTCTTGCTGATATTGTCACTCTCTCTTTTTTTTTCTCTTAGTCTTTCCCATTCTAGCCCTCCCTATCTCTTGCTGATCCTATCTTCATTCCTATTCCCAGCTCCCCTAGTTTGTGGCTACCCATCTTTTCCCCTTAACTGATCAAAATTAAAAAGAAAATTGGTGCTTTATAGTTATTAAACCATTTCTTCAGTAGATATTTACTAAGAATTGACTACATAAGCACAGCATCTGCAGGCCATCAAAAGGCCCTGAGACTCTGGTCTGAACCTACTGTAGGCAGTACAGACGCATCTCTGCAGACACAAGTGTTGTTCATTCTTTGTTCATTCTCTTTTCATAAAAAGCCTTCCTTGAAATTTTTGTTTCTCAAGTAACTTCCTAGCTAAAGTTCCCTTTATTTGTACATGATCTATTTTTGATTCATTTTCTTTGAGTGTCAGCAGGAAACCCAGGAAAAACAGCTCCCACCCCAGCCTATAGAAGACCACTGAAGTAGAAAGTTACAAAGTACAAAGCCAAAGCTAAAGAAACCACCAGCCTCCCTATAAAACCCATGTCTTTTCTTCTCATTTTTCCGACAGTTATTAACACAGTGACACACATTCATTGTGAACCCTGTCACGGTGTGATTTTATATCAATAGCTTGTCATACCAATCAAGTTGAATTAGAAGCATGGTAAATTAAGCACTGGTTCAGAATTTCCTCTTTTCTTCATTGAAAAAAAAATTACGTTGATCCAATTCATAAAATGTAGCCCCACCTCCCAGCTTGATTTTGTGGCTTCAATCCAAGTCTGTCACAGCATCATTTTTGCTTTTAATAAATACCAACTCAGGCCAGGAACTGCCCCACCGCTCATCATCAGCGGTGGTTCCATGGTGGACCTGAGTGGTGGCATGCTCAAAGCCAGAGGGAAGTTACTAAGCAAAACATGTATTGGAAAGAGGTGGCCGCAAAACATGAAAATGCTTCAGGCAGGTAGGCAAAGAAGAAAGGTGGACATATTTGCCTTTGCTAACCTATATACCCTTTTACCAAGTATGTGAGCTCACTCTGCTTTGTTAGTGAGAGAACTTGGAAGGATGCTGCTATGGTTTGAATGCTTTTCCCCTCCAAAACTTGTGTTGACAGTTGTTTGCTGCTTTAGTGATACTGGGAGATGGGACCTTTGGGAGGTGATAGGGCCATGAAGGGTCCACCCTCATGGGTGGTGTTGGTGAGTTATAAAAGGTGAATTTGGGCCCCTCTTGCTCTCTCTTTGCCCTTCACCTTCTGCCATGTGGTGATGCAGCAAGAAGACCCTCGCCAGATGCTGCTGCCTTGATCTTGGACTTCCCAGCCTCCAGAACTGTGAGAAGATAAATTTCTTTACATTACAGATTACACAGTCTCAGGTATTCTCCTACTGCAGTACAAAATGAACTGGGACGGAAGCCAATTCCAACCACCTGGTCTAGCCCTTCCTTGCTAGGCCAGGCCCCGCTTTTAGACCATTACAGCACCTCACACTTCAAACACCCGTCGTACCTGTGATCAATGAACTTTTGGTGGTTATTGTTATTATCTTTCTCTTCCATCAGACCTTAAGTTTCACAAGAGCAGTGATTGAGCTGTTTTGCCCACCATCAAACATTGAAGGAATTGGAATCGAATGAATGAATGAGAAAAAGCAAACGTGGCCATGACAGTATTAGCACCTTGAATGGTGCCTAAGACATAGCAGGTGGCAATGCATGTCAAGTAAATGAACAAATATATGAATGAACAAGAAGAACCAGCATGGGGCTCTGAGTAGCTGCCTGGTAAGTACTTACTGAGATTGAATGAAAAGGCAAGCCATGAAATATGCATTTTTTATGCAAGGGCCTCTAAAAGAATTGAAAAATACAATGTCCTTTGATCTGGAAGTTGCACCACTAGCTAGGTGATAATTACATCTTCATCCAGCTCTGAAAAAGCTACTGGTTTGAAAATGTCATTAAGCTGAAGGACAATTATGGCTGTTTGCCCAAGGATTTTTTAATGGCTTTAATTTTATTCTCTTGCAGACTCAGGATGGAGCACCTGCTTGCACAGAGCAGCAGGGTCCACATCAGCAGCTTGCAAAGAGCACAGTGCTAAGGTGTCAAATCAAGGGGCCAGGACTACATTGCCTGAGGCATCCTCTGCCTGCATCCCACCAATGAAACAGCAACCCTCGCACAATCCCTTAGAGACTGCACCTGTTTTTAGACTCGGCAAATGGAGCACACAGTTCTGTGTCTGGATCCAAAACATGCTCGATTTCCTTTTGGGCTTTTTCATACATCTTTTTTCTGTCGGTCAGACCCTTGCTTGTCTCCACTGGGGGGAAGTCATAATATCCCTTCCTCTTGGCTTTGAGGCGCAGCTTGTTCCGATAGTGCTCGATGTCTGACTTCTGCTTCAGGGCTTTGTTCACCTGGGGAGAGAGACAGTCTCAGGCCACGTCTGACCCAGCATAAGTGACAGGTGGGAGAGTTTCACCAGAAGGTCATAATTCCTGGGAAAGGCACCCTAGGAGTCACCCCTTTGAGCCAGCCAGATCCACCTTTGACCCATTCCAAGACCAGCCCAAAACAGTGGGTCACAAACCATAAATAAATAACAAATGATGAGGATGTTACACCCAAATTTTTGAACTTTCCATGTTGTTATCGTGTTTTCTTAAAAATATTTTTTAAAAGAATTTCCTGTAATTCATAAAAGGAAAATTTATGGCTTTGGAGTTATGCTTTCTTCATTTAACACATAAGAGAAGAAGGAAGAAAATTATAAAACAATCTGTATCAAGCTCTACAAGGCAGCAAATTACAGAGAATAGTTTGGGGTTCTCTCTCAATCCAAATGCCAGCAAGGTTCATTCCTTTAACTACCAAAATGTAGCAAGCTTCCATTTCTGGACAAGAAAAATGCTCATTTATTCTCCTGTGACAGGGTGATGGGCCTGGGGGAAAAGTAAGTTGAATGTACCTTGGATTTGGAATCTGTCTCTATGACATTCATGTCATTAAGCTGGGATGGGAGGATCCAGGTATGGTGGCCATTATGTGGGTCGGTCCATAACTGGGCAGAGGGTCCCAATGAAGAGCTGTTATCAGTGCATTAGTGTCAACCTCAGAGGCCTCTAATCACTGGGCTTGTGTGTTTGGTGGCAGAATTCTGCCCCCAAAAAGATTCAGTGGCTGCGACTGGTTTTGAGACGACATCTAGATTCTCAAAGTACAGAGCCAAAGGGCATGACGTACATGATCAATTAATCCTTCCTCATTGGCTAAGTAATCGCAGCAATTATTATTAATAATAAAGCTCTTATTGTCTGCTAGGCACTATTCTTAGTGCTTTACATATATTAATTTGACCCTCACAGCAGTCCCATTTTATGGATGGAAATACTGAGGCACAGAGAAATGAATTAACTTGCTTAAGGTCACACAGAGAGTAAGTAAAAGAGCTGAAATTCAAACCCTTGCAGCATGGCTTGACAGTCCATACTCTTTTAAGAACAATGCTATTTTTCACTGATGGACTTTAGTAAGTCAAAGAGAGGGAAGGAGCACTGGTCAGGGAGTCAGGAAATGTGAACCGCATGGCTGTCACGGTAACCTGCAGTGTGACTTTGAGCAAGCCACTTGACTCCTCAGACTTCAGTTTCTTGGTCTAAAACATGAAGAGGTTGGAATAGAACTGCTCTGTAAGTTTACAGCCAGTTATTTTTTAAAGTTGAAAAACTTTAACCCATCACGTCCTTAGGCCACCTAAGTCTTTCTGCCCAGAAAACAAGAGGAGCTTCCTGCATCAGCTTGTAGATGCTTTCATAAGTGGCCCACATAGTGGAAGGAGGACAAGCCCCTGCTGTGCATTGACAACACCCAGTTGTACAGCGCTGTGGCACGTTCCTTAGGGTGCGGTGGGAAAAAGACTTTAAAACTTTGGAAATCTCCTACTTGTTGCAGGTGACAATAGCACGGTACAAAAACTGGATAACTAGCCTGACAGCTTAGCAACAGAGAAAAACCATGAGAGAGAGAATGTATATGCATGTGCTTGGGCACAGGTGTAACGTAAATATTTACATGCAGGCTCTGCATGCATTTTCTTAAAGGTTCATAGACATTTTCAACACATTGATCATTCTGCTGCAGAAGATGGAGATAAAGTCAGATAATTTTTATCTGACTTTATTTATTTATTTTTTTTTGAGATGGAGCCTCGCTCTGTCACCCCAGCTAGAGTGCAGTGGCGTCACCATAGCTCACTGCAACTTCAAACTCCTGGGCTCAAGGGATACTCCTGCCTCAGCCTCCCTGGTAGCGCATGCTCCACCATGACTGGCTAGTTTTTTCTATGTTGAGCAGAGTCTGGGTCTGTCTCTTGCTTAGGCTGGTTTTGAACTCCTGACCTGAAGGGATCCTCCTGCCTCAGGCTCCCAGAATGCTACGATTACAGGCGTGAGCCACCCTGCCCAGCCTTTATCTGACTTCGTGTTCTCCTTCTAAACTGTCTCTATCAATCATCTATCTATGGTCTATTGTCTATTATCTATCTATCTGTCTAATTTTCTTTGATGAAATCACCACTGTTTGGTGAATGTTACAAGTTTCTTTCAGACTCTTAGGAAAGTGGGCCCATGGTATCCGTTGATACCCTCCTGGAAGCGGCCGATGGGTTGTTTCAAGCTTGCTCTAAGGAATAAATGTCATTTCAAAGCCTATATAGCGGGCCACATCCCTGCCCATATGACAACATCTTCTCTACTTTCCTCTTAATTCAAGCTGCTCCCACCTCCACTGCAGCCAATATCCCATAATGAACAGTTTAGGAGCGTCATCCAGAAAGGCATTAGGTTGTGTGTGTGAGGGCTTGAGGGAGTGGAACTTCTGATGTTTCTCTTCATGACCACAGTTTTTAAAAAGCTCTCTCTGGGCTTTCTAATGAAGGTATAAAATGCTCTGAAAACATCACCCCACAAACTCATTTTGGGCGACCTGTGTCCTGATTCATTCCGCGGAGGCCGGGCACGTGCAGAGTTAAGATGGCCCATGCAGCCCTGGGTGACAGGACACAATCACCCAGCGTCTGGAGTCCGAGTGCCCCGAGGGCTGGCCGGACTCTCTCCGGCTCCGGGTCCCGGTGCTCACCTCACCGTTGAGGACTGCCGACGACTCCTGGTTCCTGTCCGAGGACGGGGGCACCACGGACAGGGCCGTGGGTTTTATGGCGATCACCTGCACGGACCCAGAGGACGTGTCGAAGGGCTCGGCAGCCGCCTTGCCTGAGCTGTCGAAAAGAACGGCTCCTTCCTCTTCATCACTTGCTGGCACTGAAACACAACACAAACACATCGATTTTGTGATGCTGGGGAGCCGCTTGGCCACGGGAGGATTTATGTGACGCCCACAGCCGAGGGACATTACTTTGCTCAAAATGACTCAGGCACAACAGCGCCTGGTTCTGTGCCAACGGCTCGCTGCCGCTGGCGGTTTTCCTTTATATTTAAGATTTCAAACTATTTATCCCTCCATTGCCTTGTCAATGGGTAGGAAAGAATTTGAAAGGTTTGAATCAAACAGTTAAAAACCATTCTTTCCAAAATAACAACAAAACATATTTTTTAAAACATTTAAAAGGTGACTTTTTTCTCTATGTTGGAGTTGGAAATGAGAAAAGTGAATTTGACCAAATCTTGTAACTATTTTTTAAATCTCACGATCATCAGAGTAACAGTATTTATTTTAGTCTCTGCCACCAAAGCTACCAATTTTTACACGACGTTAAGGTAACAAGTCTTCATTGGTCAACTAGTCACAGTCATTGCTGCTGACACTTTTTTTTTCCTTCTGAAGGCAGCTTCTCCAGTGATTTGGGTTTTGGTTCCTTTCGCCTGTCTAAAACAAAAGCAAGCTATGAAATTACCACCAGAGCAACTAATTTAAAGCTACAGACACCTTCCCTAATTAAATGGAGTGATTTCCACCTACGCTCTGGTGAACGAATCCCCCTCTGACAGATAACTCTGTTGCGGCTGCTAAAAGACACGAGGCTGCCTTGAGCTTCCATAACTAAGCTGACAGAAGAAGTTCCAGGGCCCACGGTAACTCGCTGATATACTTGTTCTTAAAGCATATTCCCATTAAGTAGCTATAAGAATGACAGTTTATTGAGCGCAGCTCAGCAAGAGATAAATTAAGTCTGTTCACACAACTAAACCAACAGACAATTCTGGAGCAAAACAGGTATTATATAAAACATGAATGCAATAGAAGAATATTCATCTTTCCTCCTGTCTGCTAAAGAGATCGGGATATTATTTAAATTATTGAGAAACGCACAGTTTGTATCATTCTGTCACTTATGATAATCACAGAAGATTTGTCAAATTAAGCCAAGTAAACTATTATTTTACAATGTGGCTAAAACACTTCGGAGTCTAACAATGGACTATAACTGGAATGTTTTTTTAGTTCTATGGGCTAATTTGCAAATAGCAGGCCACCAAGCAGCCAATGACAGAGGAAAATCTCTATTTAGATGTGTTACCAGATACATATATATTTTTAGAGTGCAGTTTTGCTGGGCAGCTCTTGTCTAGCCACTCTTCCCTCCCGTCTGGACAACTGCTGTAAAAGCCATCTGCGGTAGCCAGCCTCTGTGCTGGCTCCCAATAGTTCTCACCTCCCAATATTCACACCTACAATGAATGGGTATGAATCTGTGCAACCAATAGGAAATGACAGAAATGACAGTGTACTACATCCAAGGCTTGGTCGTTAAAGAACATTGTGGCTTCCACCTTGCTCTCTCCTGGATCACTTACTCCAGGAAAAGCCAGCTGCCATGTTATGTGGACACACCCAAGCAGCCCCACGGAAAGGTCCACGTGGCAAGGACCTTGGAGGCTTCCTGCCAACAGCCACACAAGTGGCTATCTTCTAAGGGCCAGTCAAGAGTTTGGATGACTATAGCCCAGGCCAACATCTTAACCGTGATCTCATGAGGGACTCCAAGCAAGAATCACCAACCAAGCTAAGCCACTTCTAAATTCCTGACCCACATACATTATACAAATAATAAATGTAGATTGTCATTGTAGATTGCTAGAGTGATATGTTAGTGGCAATAAATAACTTATAGCCCTCCTGAAAAACCTCCTACCTCTGGGCTTCCCCTCTTGTTCCTCACCCCTAAAATACATATTCCACTGGAAGCCAGGAAGAATTCCCTTTCTATAAGGCAACCTGACCACATTCCTCCTCTGATCCGAAGCCTCTGAAGGCTGCATCTCTCTCGGAATAACACCACAGCCGTACCCCCAAAGTCCCATCCTGTCTGGCACTGGCCACCTCACAGAGCTCACTTCCTCCCTCTCCCCTTCTCTACTCTGCTCCAGCCACAGTGGGCTTCTTGGGCACATCAGACTAACGCCCACTGCAGGAGTTTGCATTAGCTGTTCCCTGTGTTCAGAATGTTCTTCCCTCGGATCTTTCCATGTCTAGTTCTTTCTTACTTTTCAAGTTCCAGCTTGAAAATGACTTTCCCTAGCCATCAATCTAAAACACACCCCCCCCCGCCATCACCCTGCTATGTTTTCTTCACAGCACTTATCACTCTTGATTTGTTGTATTGACTTACAGGCTGCCCTCATCCCCGCCACTAGAGTAGAAGCCCCAGGCTTGCCCACCTTTCGAAAGGCTGATGCTTATTGCCTTTAACAGTGGCTATGGAAGTCTGCCTTCCATAAGGATCTGTTGAATAAAAGTGAAGGAATGAATGACACAACTTCCCTGACTGAGAAAAGGGGATATTGTTAGTTCCTGCAGAACAGGTAACCACGTGGAAGTTAAAGGCATGTTATCCCTAAACTGTTCAGAGGGTGAATAGATGGTACTTAGCATTTTTATCCCTTTGGGGTTGTGACAACCTCACCTCCCACCCTGAGGACAGGGTAAGGTGGACAGCATAGTTATAATGGGACAAGGAAATGACACCTCAGACATTGTACAAGCTAGAGTTATTTTTCATCTTTGCTTTTAAAAAAAGTCATATTCAGATTTGCACGACAATTCCTCTAGGAATTCTTAAGAGAAAAATAATTAGTTATCCTCCCTCCAAAAAAGACTTTATGGAAAAATGCATTAAATGGCACTGCATTAAATATTAATGCATTAAAATGTTGTGTGGACACAGCAGGTTCATGGGGATTTTTAATGCACAATTAGTCCCTAAGGAAAAAAGCATGGGAGAGTGGTCAAGGACAGGGTGCCACAGTTAAACCATGGAAGTGACCTAGAATATCACCACATCACAGTCAATGCCACTAAACACCTATCTCGTATCTAGTTCTGCCTTGTTTGCACTGTTGGTGTTAATTTCAGTAAGTCAGGTTGGAAAAAGAGATTTCATTTCTTCATGTCTGATTTGGCATGGGGAGACACCTCCCACCCCCCACGTGAGACAGAAAATGCTCTTAAACAACACATGCACTGTCTGAAAGTTTCATCAAAGACAAATAATCTACAAATGGCATCACTACCATATGTTGTTATTTATTAGATAAAAAACAAGTCTTCATTTCATTGGAAGGCAAAGAAAGAAGAAAACCTGAAACTGTGTTTTTGAGCTGATATCTCTGACAAATCTTCCTTTATCTTTTAATCCCAGACCTCTCCTCCAAGAGCTCCCCTACTAAGAAAGTAGTCATTTATTCTCTGAAGTCTCTGACTCTTGTCTTCCTCCTGCCTCACCTGCCCCACAACCATTAGGAGGCAAAATGTGATAGACTCTGAGCTTAACAGTGAACTCTTTCAGTGGCATAAAGGAAGGAGGACCCAAAGGGCTTAGGGGTGTTGTTTGCCCCTGGATGACTCAACATGCAAAGACAGGTATTACGTCCTATTTACTCTTAGACTTACTTTTTAACTTCTTCCCAGAAAACATTTTCTAAGGTGACACTGGGTTGGCTCAGAAATTCAAATGTCTGTATTTGGCTGAGAAAGCATTAAGTTGTTTTTGCTTTCAAAATCCTAGCTCTCACATCTAACTTTCTCACTTACATCTAAGCATCACCATGACTCTACAACTCTACAACTGCCTTGCAGCTGTGATAACTAATGAGGCTATCTGGCTACAAGGACCCATGCCAACCATGATACTATAAGGACAGTGTCTTCCTTTTAAAATTCTTATTTTCACAAAAAGGGAATATTAGAAGCTACAGATGCAATGAACTTGGTGGAAAACAAAAACAGTTTTAGAATAATAGCCCAGTACATTAATATTTATTAATTAACCTTAGCAACCCTAGCCTCTATGAGAAATAGATACTAAACCATAAGACAACAGAATTTGAAAATTCTATACCAACAGAATAATCTATTTTCATAGGCCATGTTCACACAAAAAGTGGTCAGTACTTTTTGAAAGCTGGCGAGGTGATGAAAATATACCTTTTTGTTTTCTCCATAGTTCTATGCAATGTTATTTACATCCCTCCTTCCTTCCTTTGGTTCATCTTCAAAACCAATAAAATTCACTATTGATTTCATTGGTTAACTCTAACCTAGTATTATGACAAAATGGAGCCATCTGATATAAAAGGACAAGCAGTTGGGTGTGGTGGCTCACACCTGTAATCCCAGCACTTTGGGAAGTCCAGGCAGCAGTACACCTTGAGGCCAGGAGTTTAAGAACAGCCTGGGCAACATATTGAGACACCTTCTCTACAAAAATAAAAATAAAAATAAATAAAAAATTAGCCAGGCATAGTGGTATGCCCCTGTAGTCCTAGCTACTTGGGAGGCTGAGATGGGAAGATCACTTGAGCCCAGGAATTTCAGGCTGCAGTGAGCTATGATTGCACCATTGTACCCTAGACGGACGACAGAGCAAAACCCTGTCTTTTTTTTTTTTTTTAAAAAGATAAGTGTAGGTTTCAATGAAGGTCCCTCCTAGAAATCTGATATGCTTTTGTGTCTGTTGAGTTTTATACAAAACAAGTTGGCCTTATCATTTCTATTGGAAAATTTAAAACCCAAACCTCATTGAGTAGAAATGTGTGATGAAATATAAGTGACCTACCCTGAAAATTCAATGGGTTTACTTTTGACAAGAATCAAGTACAATAGTCCCAGCTACTCGGGAGACTGAGGCAAGAAGATGGCTTGACCCCAGGAATTTGAGGTTGCTGTGAGCTAGGCTGATGCCATGGCACTCTAGCCCGGGCACTCTAGCCCTGTCTCTTTTTTGAGACAGAGCAAGACTCTGTCTCAAAAAAAAAAAAAAAAAAAAAGAATCCAGTACAACCAAACAAGCACCCAAAACCTGGGAAGGATGGCTTTCTAATAAAACAAACAAGTAAAAACCTGCACTTGGTACAGTAGTTGCATTTTATTCATGTACCTATCTGCTGTTTCTGAAGCTGACATTTAAATAATCAAAGTGACATAAACAGAATAAGGAGGCAGGCAGAGAGGACAGACAGGACTAGCCAAGGACATTAACAGCAGGCCAGAGTTTCACTAGCCGGGGGTTGGGGGGAGAGATGGGGTCAGGAACTGGCCTTGCTCACTCTTCCTCCATAGATTAAATATGGGAAAGGGGGAATGTCACCACTTTGTTAAATGTGTATGGACTGACAGAGGAGTTTATATATTGCACATTTTTAAATGAGCAAAAGAGCGCAGAACAATGTGCACATTGATTATAAAACAAAGACACATGTGTATTGCCACATGCATAGTAAAAAGGTCAGAGAAAGACACACTGAGTTATTCAGGATCCTTTGAGGACTGGGGTGGGTGAGTTGGCGCATCTGGAGGAGTGGGTGGTCTTTGACTTGACTTTATACATTTCCAGGAAGTATATAAAGGGAGGACGGAAAGGGGAGAGGGTGGGAGTGGGGAGGAAGGAGGCAGAGCTGGGAGGGCGGGTGGCACCATCTTAGCCAGGTGGCAATGCCCATTGCAGTACTTAGTTAAAACCACCTTCCCCCTTCCCCTATGGCTTCACTGTCCATCGTCTCTGCTGTCACCTCGCTCCCTCTACCCACTCTCTTAGCACCTCGTGCTGCGAAGAAAGAAAAGAAAATTGCTGAATTCAAGACCCCTTCCCAAGTTCTAGAGTAACTTGGACTCTTCGTGTGCTCACTTGGCAGGGAACTGATGGCAGGATTTCTGGTGGTCCAAGGTGGGGCAGATATTAGAGGAAAATCCCATGGGTTGCACCCTAATTCTGAGGTGGAAAGCTCAGTCCCTATGACACAGGGCATGCAGATGCAGAATTCAAGGGAAGAAAACATTCAAGAACCGAATAGGTATGACAGTTTAAACCAAGTGCTTTATATAATAGCTGGAAATGGGCACAGGGACCACATCTTCCCTGCAGAATACTTATCTATTGTGTCATTATTTTTTCCCCTTTCTCTTTCTTTTTTTCAGTCAGAAAAAATAAGTAAGTGACATTTGAAAACACAAAAATATTCTGGCACTGGCTTTAAGAAAGAGTGCCTGAACTACACCAATTCCTTTAAAAGGGAAGCACAGCTAAGCAGAATGCCAGAGTGTTTAGCTTTTCACCGGGCATTTCTGGAAGGCTCCACCCACAAACCTTTTAAAACCCAAAAGGAATTTTTCCATGATCTGAAAACCAGCAGTAAGCCAGCATCACACACAGAAGGATCCAGTGGAGATGAGGGTTGGAGCAAAAGGTGGATCGGGAGAGGGAAGCTGCACAAGGACGTTGACAGGTGCATCTACAGATGATGCCACTGCATTGCCACTTACGAATAAACCCCAACACCAATCCCTGTAGGAAGGGAAAACATCTGTGTGACAGAGAAACTAAATAGTTAAGTGCCCCTGAAGAATACAGACAGAAGCATAAGTAGATTTTTTTTTTTATGGCAAATGTGCTTTTTCTTTCTTTCTTTTTTTCTGAGAGAGGTAGATTTGCAAGCCTGGACTCAGTGGTACAGACAGAACCCTTGAAACTTATCAGGGGAGTCAGGGCAAGAAAATGAGGGAAATCTCCAAGATGACCGGTATGTCAGACACCTGCCACCTGAGTGGACCTGGTGCTAAAAATCACATTGATTCGCTCAGGAATCAGGAAAATCTCTGAGCAAACGTCAATTTGTTTTACAAAGGGTTTTTCCTAAGGAACTGCACAATTCCATAAGAACAGGGGGTAGAGGAGGTGGGACAGAGCAATTCAGAGAAGGGGGCAAGGGAATAACCCCAGGGGTACACAGCAGACCCACAGGGCAGGATAGAGGGAAGGACCGAGGGTCTGAGACCGCTGAGCGAGTGTGCGCACGCGTGTGCACGATGTGTGCGCGGGCATGCGTGGGAGGGGCTGAGGGTGGTTCTTGGCGGGAAGGCTTCTCACCATTTCTCTTCCTTGCCTCCTCCTTTGTCACTTTCTGCTGTGCCATTACATTCTGGGGTGAGCGTCTCCCTGAGCTGGGCTTCCCTGATTCGTTGCTGATGACAGAGCCATTCTCACTGGGCGACCTGCTGGAGGTAACCATAGCAACAGGGGAGACGGTAAGTTTCGACGGGAGCAGCCGCCTCTCAAGGTTATTTTATTTGCACAGTTTATGTCTGTAGCCTTTCATTCCAGTTTTATCGACAAAGAGGAAATGATATAGGAAAAGGAAAAACAACAACAACAACAAAAACCACCCATACTGCAGTATGGGTTAAGCAGCTGGTTGTTCTGAAGTGCACTTTCCAGTGCTCGGCTCCGTAGAGAGTGTCCGTCTCTGTTCCATCAGCCCGTGACTATGGAAACAGTGGTGACGGTGTTTGTGTAGCTTGTCCTCTTTTTAACACATGGCACTCTGATAGTGTTGCAGAGGGTTTGAGTCACACGTGCATCTTCAGGGACATGCATGAAACCCAGTTCTCTCTGGCTATTCTCTTTACACCACATATACCCTGACAACCAAGGTTAAGTCGCCCCGTCCCTGGGGTCTTCACTGTCAATCTCTCACACACGCACAAACACTCAGGCATGCACATATACACTCTTTAACTGTGGCAACCAGTAACCATTTATATTTTGAGACAACTAATTAGAGTTATTTGTTCATCCAGGAAGTACTTTTTGTGCACCTGCTCTGTGCCGGGCACTGCCAGGTATATAGGTATGCAGAGATGCGAAGACCTCACTCCATGTTCTCCAAGAGCTGCCCATCAGGAGTACCTACTACGTGCCAAGGACTGTACCGAGTGCCTTCCAAACTGATAATGACTCACTACAACGATCCACTGATTTAGTGATGGACAGCCTTGTGTAGCAAGTGAGGAATGTGAAGCTCACGGAGGTGAAGTATACCATCCAGGGCAGAGTTGGGAGGTGGCAAAGGAGCTCTAGGAGTCAGGTTCCCCTCCACCCACACCCCAGAATACCTTCCCTTTGCTGTCCCCTACAAGGACACCAGATGAGGCAGCCCCTCACACTGATTGGCAAGTCACAGGCCTTCTTCCCCTTCCTCAGATGGGACCCTCACCTTCTGGAACTCTGTGGGAGAACAAGCTCTTGAGAACCTCTGCTGGGGTTCACTTGGGCTTCAGATTATGCCAGCCTGTGGGCAAACTGAGCAGAAAGACCAACTGCCTCCCTTCTGTGGGACACAGTCAGGGGGCAGACTTCTAGAGGTCTCTTGTTCTGCTATTGTCAATCGTACAAATTTAGAAAATAATGGCATCTGGCCCCTGCAATAGAAGACGGAGGATGCACTTTCCCAGGGAGGTGGGGGAGCTGTGCATCCTTGCAGGTGCTCCTCTGCCTCCTCCTCCCTCCTTCCTCCTCACGCCCTGGTAATTTAGCATTCTCGGGCTGTACACTTTAGCACCCTAATAGCCGCGAACAATGAAAGTTGGGATATCTGCAGGATAAGGCAGTATTTGCCAAGAGCGAGCGTTCCCCGAACACTAGAGCCAAGTGAGATGTTCCTCACCAAAGTTCCACAGACAAGTAGAAGTTTGGGAAACGTTTACTATATTCCTTCTTTGGAGATTCCTAATGCACGTTAGCATATCAAAGGCTGTGATCAGTTCTGTCAGAGAGAGATTCATCTGTTTTTGTTTAATCCAGAATTTCCAAATTTATTTGGCCACAAATCTGTTTCACCATAATACCTTTTAACATCCTAGAAAACCAGTAATACAAAGAATGTAGTCTGGATAACAAAGATAAAGCATTAATTTATTGAATGCATGTTATTTATTTACCCAACAGCTATTTGCTCACTGAGTGCTGGGTGTGCAAATCCACACACACACAGAAGTTATGTGGCCCTGAATTGTTTTCAGAATCTCATGGTTCAAGACACCTACTCTCCTGACTAGCTTTACAGGGACAAAAAGGCTTTCATTTAGGTTCATACAAAAAGGGAGGGAAATGCTTTTTGTAACCTATTTTACATTCACAAAATACTTAATGGTTTTTGTAGCATTTTCATACCCTTTCCCTCACTTGATCCTGAAACAATTTTCTGGCTGTTCCTGTCACTCTAAGGAAAGGTGTCAATGAGCAAATTTCTGTAGAGAAAAGGTAACTCTGCTCTATTTTTTGCATTAGTTTACAGACTTGCGTTTAGATGGAGTCATTAACTCAAAACTTCTGGTCAAAAACAGAGAGTGAGGTTTGGCGTGCATGTGTGTGTTTGTGTGTATGTGTCCACTCTTCAAAAGTGTCTGTGGGCTGGGCGCGGTGGCTCACGCCTGTAATCCTAGCACTCTGGGAGGCCGAGGCGGGCGGATTGCTCGAGGTCAGGAGTTCGAAACCAGCCTGAGCAAGAGCGAGACCCCGTCTCTACTATAAATAGAAAGAAATTAATTGGCTAACTAATATATATAGAAAAAATTAGTCAGGCATGGTGGCGCATGCCTGTAGTCCCAGCTACCCGGGAGGCTGAGGCAGGAAGATTGCTTAAGCCCAGGAGTTTGAGGTTGCTGTGAGCTAGGCTGATGCCACGGCACTCACTCTAGCAAGGGCAACAAAGCGAGACTCTGTCTCAAAAAAAAAAAAGTGTCTGTGAAAGCAAGAAAGTCACCTGTGAGGCTGCAGTTTTAGGCTACTGAACTTACTAGTCCCCATTCTGAGGACATGGGCAGACAGGGAGCCTAGAAGAACAGTCCTGGGGTGGGGATTAGTCAACTCCTGAACAATCATGGCCAATCAATCACTACATATGAGCACTTTTGCTGCCCCTGTGAGGCCAATTCTCCATCATGGCCCATCAATCCGAACCACACACGACAAAATAGCATCACAAAGACCCTAGACTGGAGGAAAAGGACTCACAACTCCCATCTGGCTTCCTGGAAGTGACTGAATCTCAGATTTCAGTTTTAACATAATTTTTAAAATTGAGGCATCAACAACTGTCAAGTCATTGATTTTTCCATTTTCCACTTACAAAACTTTCTGGATCATCTAACAGACCAATTCTGGGAGGGCAGGCAGTCCTTACGTCGCAGGGATGAGGAAACTGATGCGGCAAGATGGGGAAGCCAGAAACATAGATGTGAGATAGGTTTTCTCTTGGGTTTGGTGTCTTAAAATCTTCCCAAGTGATCTGAATCCCATGGTCAGCTGGGCTTGAACAGAGGTGAGGATTCCTCCCATAACTTTGGCAGTGATACAGCCAGCCCTTAACAGAATTATATGTTTATGGTATAATTATGAAGCAAATGTAGAAATCCTTAAGCAGTATAGACATTATCTTCTTTATCTGTATTTGTTTCATATATATATATATACACACACACACACACACATATACAGAGACTGAATGGGTCTGTGGAACAAGCTAATATTTCTTAATAAAAATTTGGGGGTAAGTAATTGAGTTTGATTATCAAGAGTAGATGCCTTGTTAATCCCAGAAGAAATGCTTGCTCTAATAAATGTTTTTAAAGACAACTTTATACAACTTAAATTACTCAACTAGAATGGGTAGAATTTTTATCCTTCCTGGAAGTGCTATATTCATACACAAATTTTAATAATTCTATTTATTTCTTTTCAGTGTCCTCTAAATGGGGTTAGTATGCCTCTATTGTATTTGACAAAGATCATAATGAGAACATTGCTGTAGGTAACATGACTTGCAAGTCAATCCACACAAGTCGTCTATTGCTTCTCTGTACATTTTAACTCTGTTCTGCTCAGGCTCTTCCACCCTGGGTCCACCCTTGTGGTAATGGACCCCATGTGCCCACACCTCTCTGTAACCTGGCTTTGGGGACTCCTCTCCCACAATGACTCTGGACTTGGCTGTGTGACTTGCTCTGGCCAACGGGACAGTAGCAAACTGACACAATCATAGACTTGAAAAATGTTTGCACTTTTGAGCCGTCTTTCTAGCTGCCCTTGGAACCCTGGAACCACTCTGTGAGAGATCCAGGGCTGGCCTGCTAGAGCAAGAGAGACCATGTGGAGAGGCCCCAGGAACTGGACACGCATGAGCAAGCCCAGCTGAGATCAGCCAAGCTCAGCCCAAACTGCTGACCCACCAAAATCATGGGCTCAATAAATGGCTGTTGTTTCAAACTCCTAAGCTTTGGAGTAGCAATAGATAACTAACCCGCATGCCCCAACCTTCTTTCCTACCCAGGCTGACATCCGATCCTCCGTTCCTCTGCACCTGGTTCAGAGGTACCAACAGCTCCTGGAAGTCAAGCCTTGTTGCTTGACTCCAGGACAAAATTTGTGCATTTTATATAGATGAAGCCTTCCTTGCTCCTCAAACTACTTCCCTCTCTTGGTCTCCTCATGCCCTTCTTCCTGACACTGTTCAGCTTCCTTCGTTGATTCTACCTGACCTTCTGGACCTTTAATCATTAAAACATCCCAGGGTTCAGTTCTTGGATCTCTTCTCTATCGATATCCTCCCAGGTGATTCCCTCCTGTGTCATAGCATAACTAAATACTGACAGCTCCCACGTTTATATTCCCACCCGGCACCTCTGCTCTAAACTCCACACTCATTTGGTTAATTGAGTTCTCGACACACCCACTTGCATATCTAATGGGCATCTCAAACTTAATAGGCCCACATCCAAATTCTTGATCATCCCCTACAAACTCCTCCTCCTCTAGTCTATCCCAACACAATCCATGGCAAATGCTCTCCTCTCTATTTCTGTAACCTCACAACACTCTATCAGCAAATCTTGTCAGCTCTTCCTTCAAAGTGTCCCTAGACTCCAACCACTTCTCGCACCACCAGGCTGCAGTCCACACCACCATTTCTCACTTAGATTACTGCAGTAGCCTCCTAAGGGGCCCCTGGCTTCTACTCAGCATCCCTGCAGTCTACTGGCCACATAGCAGCCAGAGTGAGCTGTCACATCATGTCATTGCTCTTCTCAAAGCCTCCCAATGATGTCTGATCTTTACTGACAGTCCAAGTCCTGCCTTTGGTCTGCGAAGTCTGACATGATCAACCTCAGGCAACGTGTCTGACTCATCTTCTACCACTTCCTCCCTACTTCGGTCCTGCCTCTGTTGGCCTTCTTGCTCCTCTTCAAGCACGTCAAGAAGTTCCCTCCTCTGGGCATTGAATGCACTGTTCCATCTGCTTGGAACATTCTTCCCACAGATGGCCTCAGGGCTTACACCTCATTTCAGTCTGGTCTTTCTCAAATGTCTCTTTTTCAAAGAGGGCTTCTCTGGCTTCCTATCTAAAACAGCACTATACCCCTTCTCCAGCTCTCTATCCCCTTACAGTGCTTTGCTTTTCTTCCGTGTACTCATCTCTAGCTGACCTTGATAGACAGACTTTGTTTCTCTATATGTTTCTTGCCTATCTCTCCCCATGAGATCGTAAGCTCCACAGAGGAGTTGTTTTGTCTTGTTCACTGCAGTATCACCAGTGCCTAGAGTAAATAGCAAATGATCAATAAATATGTTAGATAAAGGGAGAGGAAAAAAGGACGGAGACAGGGAGGATGTAACTTTTCAAACTTTTACAGTGGTCTCAGGCAAGGGAGAAGAACGTGGCAGAGGGTGTTGGTGTAGCCATTCAACAGGGCCTACCACAGTGTTCATTACTTCTTTAAAAGGCCATTGCAAAGTCCTCATAATGAGACTGCAGCCTGTAACCTAAATTCTCCCATCTCTCATCCACATTGCCATCAGAGCAGTCTCTCTAACACACAGGCTGGACAGCACTGCCCTCCTAAAGAACTTTCAGTGGCTGCCCACAGCCTAGAGAACAAAGGTCAGACTGCTTAGCCTGGCGGTCAAGACTTTCTGCAATTTTAATCTATCTTCTCATCCCTCACTAAACCCCAGCCACTGTGAACTCTCAACTCCAGGGACACTCACCATTTAGAGAATGTGCCTGCCCCTCATCTCTCCCCACTCTTTCACACTGGATGCCTTTATCTCTTCCCACCTATCCCGATCCCACGCACCCTTCCAGGCTCGGCTAAAGCATAACTTTCTCCATGATACTTCTGGTTAGAATGAAGTTCTCCCTCCTCTCTTTCCTACAGCCCTCTACTCGGGTTCCCTGGTGGGCACCCTACACATGGTGCTTGGTATCTCTCTCTCTCTCTCTCTCTCCCCCTCCATCACCAGATCCCTGGGGTCGGGGATCAACCTTGTACATTTCTGTTGTCCTCCTACCGCCTGTCGGAGTTCTCTGTTCCTGGTAAAAACCGAATAAACGGTGTCAACTGAAATTGGAAACTATTCAGAAATCACCAGGTAAAATACGACTGCACTGAATCGAAGGCACTGCTTTGAATATAAGTGAAAAATATAAGTGTGACATCGGTGCCAAATTTGTTATAGTAAATACAGGAGCTGAGTCTCTGCTGTTGTGGTTATCAGTGACAGAAAACCCTACACAAGGTGGCCTGCACAATGCAGATATTGTGATTCCCGTCATCTCCCTCGGTCTCCTTTTCAAACATTCAAACGGAGCATGAAGGGGAATTTTTAAAGAGAACAGTGGAATTAACTCGAGGGCATCAGCTGTTCTCATCGTTTGTTATTTCTCTTGCTGGCGCAGAGGGGCAGGAGTCGGCCTGCACGTACCTCTTTCTGGTTTCGGTGGACTTGGCCGTCTTGACGGTGCTGCCGTCCTGCGCGATGTCTCTTTCCTGAGGGGCGTCTCTCACGGGCAGTGGGAGGACCACCGTTTCCTGAGTCACGGGAATGACCTCCTCGTCCGCCCCTTGCTGGCCCAGGTGTTGCTTGGCGTAATCAAAGCCTTGCACAGGCTGCAAAGAGGACACGGGTCTGCATTCACATTTCTTGGGAAGTGCAACTCTAACCACAGCTTTAAGAGAAGACAGGCCGCAAAGTGCATGCGACGGCACTACCCTTGGCTTTCTGATGAACAGGAGTTAACTCAAATCCTGAATCGTTATTCCTGCCTCTGCAAAGTCAGAATCCATATTAATTCTACCTAGCTACAGAATCTCTACACATAAGACTTGCTCAGAGTGTAAACAAGACACAGATAGGTGTGTGAGAACAAACTTCTTTCAAGGATTTTAGAACGTGAATTGTAAGTCAATGGATACTGCTAATAAGAAACAATTCTTAATTGATATATTCAACAGGTTCCGTGGATTAGCTCTTCCCTAGAAATATTTGGTTACCCCTTAACTCCACTCCCATGGAGCTGTATGTGTAACAGTATGTCTGCGTCTTTGCCAAGTCGCAATTTGCTCATCTGAGAAATGAAGATAATCTTATCTGTTTTACCTCCACCACCCTTGAGTATTAGAGTGATCACAGATCTGGAAACAGAGGGAAATGTGCTACCACATGTGAAGCAGTACAGTCATTAATAATGAAATGGAATTTGTGGAATCGCTCTTTAACCCAGACTTCTTCTCTTAAGCAGGCTGGTGCTCCTCTAACTCACTCCTGGGAAACTGGCAAGGTTTTAATGCACAGTGTCTGAAATCCAAGTGCATGAGGCATCTGTGAGCAAAATCCAACAGACACCTATCAGCGGGGTGATAAGAAATCAGATGGCATGTTTAAGCAATTCCTAGCAGTGTCTGTGTTCTGCTTTACACCCCAAAGCAGCACAGGACAGTGTGGTTGGTGGTTAAGAGGGGCAGCTCAGAAAGCAGACTGCCTGGGTTCAAGTCCTGACTCCACCACTGATTAGCTAAATTACTGAAATTCTCTGCACATCGGTTCCTTCACCTGTAAATGGAGACAATAATCAAGTAAAGAGAATAAAATGCGCAGGTATATGAGAGTGATATTTAACCATCTTTAAGGATCCAGATGGGTGTAAGGATTAAATAAGTATTTCGAGTTCAGCACTCAGCACAGTGCCTAGTACATACTAAGTACCCAATAGATGGTAGTCATCACGGTTTGCCTTCCTACTAAAGTCATTGTCCAGGTGAAATGGACACTAAGTGATTCTCTTTAAGAAAATCTGGGGATAAAACTCAACCTCTGCTATTCAGAGTCCATCAGAACTTGGTACGATCAGTAGCTCTTCCTTTAGCGACTCCTTTAGCTAACAAAAGCATCGGGAAGGCTCCAGGCAGATTTAACATCCCACCATCTAGAACTGAGGCCTATCCTGCCGAATCTTACTACTGTGTCTCAACAGGATGGAGTTTTGCTGCTAATTCCAACAAAACTTCTTTATTTGAGGCTGCCTGGAGCTTTGCCACGGACAGTTCCCCCAGTTATGTGGGAAACTCACTTGGGGAAGTGTGGTCACACCCCCTTTCTCTGAGACACGCACTCACTCTGATCCACGTGGTGACCAGTGACATTCTGATGCCAGGACTGGGGACTGAGTTTCTGGAATAGTTTGCTAAGGGTAGACTGTGTCTGTTCTTTCCCCTCCCCTTCCTTGGTGCTGCCTTTGGATGACTTAATAATGTCCCTAGAATACTGAATTGCCTGCTCCTCCCACAACCAATAGGTCGCCCATTGGATTCAACTTCTGAGATGTTTCTGGAAGCTGCCCTTCCCCCACAGGTCCTCTGTTTCACCGTCTCCTGCTCAGTCTTGTGGCTTCCCTTCAGCTCTCTTCCAGGTCACCCTTGAAGAGCCTCCAAAGTTATCTTCCTTAAAACCACATCTGCCACTCCCTTATTAAAAGTATTTCAGCACCCAAATGCCTTGGCAAGGCATTGAAGGCCCTTCACATTCCAGCTGAACCCACCCGCCCAGCCTCAGCGCTGTGGGCCCCTTTCCCATCACACCCCTCCCGCCCCTCCCGTATCCTATTCTGTTTTGTTCCAATGATACGGACTGTGCTCAGTGCTGAAGACACAACAGAAATAACACCTGGTTCCTCACCCTCAAGGCGCTCACAGTCTGGGCCTCATTTGATACTACTGGTACAGTACTGAGCACATTACATCAGTTACGTCACTGCATCCTCACTATAGTTCAAGGAGGTAGGTATTATGGGTCCCCATTTTACAGATGAGGAAACTGAGGCACAAAGATGTTAAGTAACTTTCCTGAGGTCATACAGAGAGTATGTGTGTGAGAGAAAACAGTTGGCTGTTCTTAGCAGGTGACTGACTTGCCCCAAGCCAATGTTCATGCCAGCCATTATGGGCTCTCCAAGTGCCACCTGCATCTGGATATGGCCCGGACTACTTTCCCCTAAAGTTGCCTGTTCCAGGGAGCCATGATCTCTTCATTTATATGAAGGGAAAAATTGAAAAAAAAGGTTGTAAATCCAATGACAAAGAGTAAAGAGAAGTGAGCTAGGAACAAAGAAGGTGATGAGAGTCATGACACCTGGCCCTCTTGCATTTATCATTTTCTCAACATTCTGCCTGCAGAAGCCCAGCTGACAACCACGGCAGAAGGGTATGTCTATGACACCTTGTCTCAGGAGGAGGGTGCAGGTGTCCAGGCTCCCAGGAAAGCCACACTCACCTCCTCTGCTTAGCACATTAGGTTTATTACTGAGCCTCGGGAAGGATGCCCCAGACTGTCCCCTGGTGCTGTTGCTTATATTCTAAAGACACAGTGATGTCCCTGGGACCATCCTCCTAGTCTACGGATTCACAGCGAAGGCTCACTTTTTCATGCTGCCTTGCCCCTCGGCACTAATTGCATTCTGCTCACATACACGAGGTGGTGAGAGGGGACGAGGGCGGCCTCTCCTCTCTCCAACACCGCAGTGTCCCTGGCTTGCACAGCAGCAGAACTGCAGCAAGCAAGAGGCAGTTCCACCCTGCCGGTTCCTGCGATAAAAGGGCTCTGGAAATCCACGTGTGTGGCCCAGCCTCACTGAGGGAAAACAGCCAGCACCACCACACACGAGTGAATTCAATCATCTCGTGGAACATAAATTTGCTTGATTTTCAACGTCAGCCAGGTATCGTACGGAGCACAAGGCGCTGGGTGGGAACACAAAAGAAGCGATGGAAAACCACAAACATTAATCTATCCCAGCTTCAAATAGCTTTCAAGCCAGAAGGTATGCTGAAATCATGTGTTGCCCTACTCGGTTTGGCAGATTAATAAAATCTTAGTTTGATCTATGATGCCACTTACAACCTCAGTATGGCATGTTTTGCGTTCCTGGACGCAGGTGCAATTAGATGCTGGTAATTACTGTTATGTCCAAAAGGCTCAGGTTGGAACTAAGGTAAGAAGGAAATGAAATACCCTTTTTTGGAAAAGTTTCATCTTTCACTGCTTGGGTAATTCCCAATGTACACCTCTTACCAACATCTTGTGCCTGGGAAGCAGGTGCCTTTGTCCCAACAGAAACAGAACAACATTCTTTGGGGTTTGGCTCTGCAGGAGACAGTGCCTATCAAGCTGCAGCTTCGCAACAGGTATGTTGGTTTAACAAACAAGAAAAATCCTTTGATCCTTTTTTTTTTTTTCTAAAGTGAGGTGTGATCACCCAGAAAGAACTAAGGCATGCGTAGCCCCGTGAGGACAATCTCCAAAGCCGACATGCATTCCAACGGATAGGAAGTGTGAGGGGGAATTCACTGTTCCATTCCTGCACAGGCAGACAAAGCTGGGAAATTCAGCACTGGAAGAGGATCCCCCCTGCCAAAGCTCAGGGTTCAGGCAGGTGTATGATGGAGAAAGAGCTCGAAGACTCAGAAATGGGCCTCATGTGTGGCTTTGGAAAAGTCCTGAAGTCTCTCTTTCTTTTGGGTTTCTTGGCAGTAAAATGAGGATAATTAAAACCTTCCCTGGCTATGACCTACTTCACAGGGCTGCTGTGATGAACAAATGAGGTGACAGACCTAGAAGAGCCCAGCAAATTATAAGACATTATTTAAATGTCAGGTATCACAGTCAGTCTGTTTCCCTCGGGAAATGTCAGGAGGGGAGCTGGGCAAACGAGTCTTCAGAATTGCCTAGACCGTTTCCCTCCCAGGCTCTGGAAGTGGATGGTGCAAAGACACAGAGGCCACAGAGGAAAAATGGTCCCCAGGACAGGCGTCAGTGGAGCTGCTGAACTGGAGGGTGCTGGCCGAGGCTCTGCAGCTTGTCCGCCATGGCAGCCTCTGAGGGTAAGTCCCTCCAGCCCGCGGAACAAGGACAGGCCTGAGGGTCTAAGGTGCCCCCAGGAGCCTTGCACCAGAAGCCAAGAGACTTTGTCTTAGTGAGTTCAGGCCACCCTAACAAAATACCTTAAACTGGATGGCTTATAAACAACAGAAATTTATTTCTCCCAGTTCTGGAGGCTGGGAAGTCCAAGATCAAGGTGCCAGCATGGTCGGGTTCTGGTGGGAGCCCTCTTCTGGGGTGCAGGCTGCCCACTTATTGTGTCTTCACATGGTGGAAGGGCCTCCTTTACAAGGGCGCTAATCCCATTCCCGGGGCCTTCACCCTCATGACCTAGTCACCTCCCAAAGGCGCCATCTCCAAATACTGTCATGTTGGGGGGTCAGGACTTCAGCATATGAATTTGGGGGACACAAACCTGCGGACCTGGTCCTACCATCAGTTCTGCTCCTTACCAGCTGTGCGACCTTGATGGAGATACTGTTCCTGTGTCAAGGGGGGAGGCCAGTTGAATTCGCTCTAAGGGCCCTTTCAGGTCACTCTAGCTCCTAGTTTTCTGTGCCTCAGTTTCCTCATTTGTAAAACGATAGTCCTTCCTCAAAGAGGGGCTGAGAGAGTGAGAGGGTGGCTGTATGTAGAGCGCTTGGAAACGCGGCAGAGCAAGCTTACAATAAGCATGAGCGACCAGGTCCTGATACTAAAATAAAGGGTCCCCTTCAACCTGTGACGATGCTGCTGAAGGCACTTGCGGTGGCCTCCAAAGCCGGAGGGGGGAGCAGGCAGAGCCCCCGCAGGCCCGGCCCCGTCCCGCCCCCACCACCCCCGCCTACCTTTGCCCTCTGAGGCAGGTTGATCATGGTGTCTGGCTTGAAGTCGTTCTTGTTCTTCCTGCAGAGCACGGCAGTGATGATGATGATGATGACCGTGACCACGGCGATGGGCGCCAGCACCGCGGCGATGATCCACAGGTTGTTGGGGGGATTCTTCACCACGGCTGTGGGAAGAGCCAGCAGGAAGCACATGACAAGGAGCACAGGGAGGAGGACAGCAACGCAGACATAACCCCCTGCAACCCAGAGTCACCGGACAGGAGGATGTGCAGGATAAGAGGGTTTGGGCCAGAAATCCTCTGCCTCTGCAGCTGTGTGACCTCGGGCAAGTTACTCAAGCTCTCTGAGGCTCAGTTTCCTCCTCTATAAGATGGGGCTATCACTTTGTGATGCCTGGGTGTGGTCTCCAGTAGGTGCTCCGTAACACCAGCCTGCGCCGTTATCAAGAGGAGGAGGAGGAAAGAGATGACCAGTGTCAATTTTCCCCACTGGCCATGTCCAAGAGTCCAAAGAGAAGAGGAGAGAAGAAATCTGAGGATTGGAAATGTGTGCTGGAGTCAGGAGACAAGAGCCACAGAAAAAATGACTTCTAAATATTGTCGTGAAGTCACCCTATGAGTGAGCAATGAATAAAACAGAAAGTGAGCAGATGGATCTCCCCCAGAATGGCTGGCTGGGAAGCTTGGGAACACCTCGGTCTAATCAAAAGGATCAGGCTGTTCTCAGAACCAGTGTAAAGAAGGGCAACCACAACGCTTGTCACTAGGAAGAATGTGCTGTTAGAACAGAGGTGCCCTAGGGGGCGAGGCTGGGATGAATTAACCACCACGGCCATGGTCATGCTCCAGATCATGACAGAGACTGGGGTTACACAGGTGTACACGTTTGTCAAAGCTCATCACATGATACACTTAAAATCTGTACATTTCACTGTATGTAAATGTCACCTAAAACAGACAAAAATCGAACTCTAGTCAATGATATGCAAGCTCAAGTGTTGAGGGCTGAAGTCTACCCATACTGCAACTCACTTTGAAATGCATCAGAAAAGAAAGTGGATTGATGGGGGAATGGATGGACAAACAGGTGTATAAAAATATATAGTAAAATGTCACGTGTGGGTTCTAGGCGGTGGGAACATAGGTGTTCACTGTGTAATTCTTTCAACTTTTGGGTAATTGGGTTAATGTAGGAAAATGTAAGAAAAAGGGAAAGTCCTTGACATGAGATGACTAAGTCTCCCCCAGGATCGCTGGTGGGGATTCTTGGAACACACTTCAGTCCAATCAAAGGCCCAATAGGCTCTTAGAACCGGAGTAAGGAAAACAGTAACTAAAGAGCTCGTCTGCAGGGACAAAGAGTTACCGGCAGGGAGTGGCGTCTGCAGGAATCTAAAGAGAACCAAAGGGCGGGCAAGGACCAGACATGCCAGGAGAAGGTGCCCCAGCTGCAGATGGGGCACACTAGCTGGACACAGGTCTGCCCTGGCGGACGAGATGGCTGCACCGGCTGTGTCAGCTTGGTGATACCATCCGTTAATTCCACCCAACTTCTCTCCTGCTCCCTAGACCAGGGGTCCTCAAACTTTTTAAACAGGGGGCCAGTTCACCGTCCCTCAGACCGTTGGAGAGTGCGACGCACATTCCACACATGCGCACTGTGGGCCCGGGACAAGTCAGCTGCTAAGCAGGACAGGCGGCGGCGGCAGAAACACCCGGCGGGCCTGATAACTGTCCTCGGCGGGCCGCACGTGGCTTGCAGGCCGTAGTTTGAGGACGCCTGCCCTAGACGGTCTCATGACTCACGGTTTAAATACCATCTGTGCTCTGATGCTGCTCAAGTACATATCTCCATCTCTCCAGCCAGGACTTCTACCCTGAACTCTAGACTCCTACATCCAACTTCCTACCCAAATCTCCAACTGGACACTTAACCGACACACCAAACATACTATGTGCAGAGCCCAGCTCTTAACTTCCCCCCAAACCTGTTCTTCCTGAGATATGATTCACTCTAAGAAACGGCAGCTGCTTCATCCACCTGCTCAGGCCCAGGGCCCTGCCGTCGATGCTGGCCCTTCTCTTGCACTGTCACCCAACATCCTACTCACCAACAAACCTGTCACCTCTGCTTCAAAACAGACCCAGGATTTCTTCAGTTCCTTCTACCACTGGCTCCAACGGGGGTCCATGTTACCGACACCTCCCACCTGAGTCACTGCAGCAGCCCTCCTCCCTTGCCCCTGTCCCCAGTGGTCTATTCACAACACAGCAGCCAGAAGGGTCACCCCAAACTCAGATCACAACATTCCTGTGCTCAAAACCCTGCAGGGGTTCCTACCCCATTTAGGGTAAGAGTCAGTGTCCTTATAATTTCTACAAGACCCTAAGTGACCTGTACCCCCACCCCCGGGCAGCCTGGCCTCCTTTTCTATTTCTCTGGCCTTACAGCCTATTGCTCTTCTCTTAACTGACTCTGCTCCTGTCCCACCAGCTCCCACTGGTCCTCAAACGTGCAGACATGCTCCTGTCTCAGGGCCTTTGCACTGGCTGATCCCTCACCTGGAATGTTCTTTCCGTAGATATGCACCTGGCTTCCCCATCACTTCCTACAGGGCCCTGTACAGGGGCCATCATCTCTGTGAGGGCTTCCCTGTGCTCTGTGTATAAAATAAGCATCCCTGCCCCAGGCACTCTCCACCCCCCTCATCCTACTTCATTTTTCTCTAAAGCAGCGCTGTTTCTTTTCTTTTCTTTTCTTTTTTGAGACAAAGTCTTGCTCTGTCACCCCTGGTAGAGTGCAGTGGTATCATCGTAGCTCACCACCCCCTCAAACTCCTGGGCTCAAGCAATCCTCCTGCCTCAGCCTCCTGAGTAGCTGGGACTACAGGCATGTGCCATGACCCCTGGCTAATTTTTCTGTTTTTAGTGGAGACAGGGTCTCGCTCTTGTTCAGGCTGGTCTCAAATTCCTGAACTCAAGCGATCCTCCAGCCTTGACCTCCCAGAGTGTTAGGATTACAGGCGTGAACCACTGTGCCTGGCCTAAAGCAGTGCTTCTTAAACTTTAATGTACGAACCAATCACCTGGGGATCTAGTTCAAACGTGGATTTTGATTCTGTGGGTTTGGGGTGTGGGTTCGGGGGTTCTGCCTTTATAACAGCCCCCAGGTGATGCCCACATTGCAGGCCCCTCCTCCCGCCATACTTGGAGTAGCAAGGCTCTAAAGCACTTATTACCATCTGACATCCTGTGCCTGTATCTGCTCATCGTCACCCCTGCCCCCCTCCATTAGAATGTTTACTGCAAGAGGGCAGGGAGCCCCTTGTTTCTTGTTCACTGCTACATCCCCAGGGCCTGTAACAGAGCCTTGCACATAGTAAGTGCTCAATTAAAAGCTGAAGGACTATATACATAGACTACCATTATCCCTGTTACAATTTGGCTCCCCATACAGGTTTTCTCACAGGACAGAGTATCGACAACTTAGAAGGAGAAGTCTCATCTCTGTGGTAGTTTTAGTCTATATTTTAAATCAATATACTGGCAGGTTGGTTTATATATATATCTCTTGCAAGCCTGGTTAGCATGAATTGGTTCTCCTGATCCTGCTGAACTCTGGGGGCTACTAGGCAAAGCTGAGGACCAGACCCTGAAATATGAAGACCCCACCAGCACATGCCACATGGTGAGGACCTGCCTAAGAAGCCAGATGGCCTTCCTCTCTGACTTTAGCCATCCTCTGACTTCAACTGGTCCCTCCTTAGCCAAGATCTGCCTCTCATCTGGCTGTCCTCAGGCTCAGAATACTATTAGTACACAAGGGGACAGGCATGGGGGCTCATGCATGTAATCCCATTACTTTGGGAGGCCAAGGCAGGAGAATCATTTGAGCCCAGGAGTTTGAGGCTGCAATAAACTATGATGATGACACTGCACTCTAGCCTGGGCAACAGAGCAAGATCCTGTCTTAAAAAACAAACAAACAAACAAACAAAAACAACGAAAAATCCATTAGCACAAAAGGACTTCTCTTCCACAGTTTTTAATCAATTGGTGATTAATCACATTAACTTCCAAAAACAGCTCATTAGATAATGTTCTTCTGTTGACATTAAACATTTAATTGCTACTGCTTTCAGTAATTCAGTATTCATATGTGAGTTTTATGTCATTAACATTTTTTAAAGTTTAGAGCTTCTGTGAAAAATATCAATATGCTTCTTTTGGCTAGGCTATTCTATCCTGATGGAGAAAAATGTACAGTATATCAGTGTACACCCAAAATAAATATATATATATATTTTTCTTCATTAACAAGAATAAAATATTTATGTGTTCTGCTTTCATTCAGTTTTATTGTTTTAGTGGATGTTTCTTCTTGGTGCTTTATATAAAAATCCCTTCACCTATATTTGAATAGGGAGAGAACAGATTTATCTTACGCACATTAATAAATTCATTTAACAGTCAAAATGAGAGTAAAGTTAGGTCAATTGAAGTCATCCAAACCCAATATATTCATTGGCATAATGATCTAAAAGTACAAAGTCATGTCTGAAGGTGAAAAGGAATGAATGGCTATTTAAATTGCAAGAATTTCAGTAGAGGGCAGACAGGAAAACAAGACATGTTCTGAGCACCTACTGTGTGTTATGTGCTGTGATAGGTCCTTTGCCTGCCTGCCATTCTTATCCCCAATTTGCAGATGAGGAAACTGAGCCCCAGGGAGGTCAGATATTTTTATGAAAAGTTTCTCTTAAATAGTTTAAGTTGGTTCTGAGTTAACCCCATGAATGGAAGTATATACTTGTGTGTGTGTGTGCATACACACGCATGCACAAGCATTTGTCAGAAGGAATGAAATCAAAGGGTCCAATTAATGTAAACACAGAATAAGTTATTTTCACATGGAACTGATGTTGAAAGGAGAAGGAATCCATCAAAAATGTTTCCAGCTCATCTTTGTGGCCGTCCCCTACGTCTGGAACATCCGGGTTCATAGCCAGTGTGAACGGATGCAGGGGAGAGTCTGCCCGGGGCCCAGCGGCTGCTGAGTGCTCGGTCCACACTGCTCCCCTGCCAGACCCTCCCTCGGCCTCTCATCCCACTCGGGGCCAGCCCGTGAGGCCATAGTGACTGTGGTCCTAGTCTGCACCTTGGTC